GAGGCATGGCGTTAGGTGAAGGAGACAAAACCAGACAAGAGAGGCATGGCATTAGGTGAAGGAGACAAAACCAGACAAGAGAGGCATGGCATTAGGTGAAGGAGACAAAACCAGACAAGAGAAGCATGGCGTGAGATGAAGAAGACAAAACCAGACAAGAGAGGCATGGCGTGAGGTGAAGGAGACAAACCAGACAAGAGAGGCATGGCGTGAGATGAAGGAGACAAAACCAGACAAGAGAGGCATGGCGTTAGGTGAAGGAGACAAAACCAGACAAGAGAGGCATGGCGTTAGGTGAAGGAGACAAAACCAGACAAGAGAGGCATGGCGTGAGGTGAAGGAGACAAAACCAGACAAGAGGGGCATGGCGTGAGGTGAAGGAGATAAAACCAGACAAGAGAGGCATGGCGTGAGGTGAAGGAGATAAAACCAGACAAGAGAGGCATGGCGTTAGGTGAAGGAGATAAAACCATACAAGAGGGGCATGGTGTGAGGTGAAGGAGATAAAACCAGACAAGAGGGGAATGGCATTAGGTGAAGGAGATAAAACTTCTCCACCATTTGAACTTTTATGAACTTGCTCCTTCTACCATCTTTTACTGAAAACATATTTTCTTCTGTCACTAGCATCAGGTAGGAGATCTGAAATTTATTTCTTTGATGCATTACAGAATATATTTTCTTGAAAGACCTTATATCAAACTTTCTTACGTAAAATTTGGGCTGTGAGAGAAGGTGACCACTGTTTTTCAACTATTGTGTTACTTACCCTGACTTATCCTTATTCAGAGGAATAATTTGCATGTCCTGTCCATAGACTCCAACATCCAGTTCACCCTGAATCATTCGAATAACAAGAGGAACATAGATTTTCTTGACGTTACCTTAAGGATCGACAATGACAATAATATACAATCTACCTTGTTTCACAAACAAAGTTAGAAAACCTTACTTCCTTAACATCAACTCCCATCATCCAAATTATAATAATATACAATCTGCCTTGTTTCACAAACAAAGTTAGAAAACCTTACTTCCTTAACATCAACTCCCATCATCCCAATTATAATAATATACAATCTACCTTGTTTCATAAACCAATAAGAAAACTTTACTTCCTTAACTTCAACTCCCATCATTCCAAAGTTTCCAAGAAGGGCACAATTATTGGAGAATTAAACAGAATTGATCGCAACTGTAGTGAAAAACAATACACGCTTCGAACTAAAATCATTTGTTCTGAGCAACAGATATCAACCTTTTTTACATTGAACAAATTTTCAAGGACTATGATTCACAAGAACCAACATTGCACTTCCAACATGAGAAAACACAGATAAACAAGGAAGAAATAAATAATTTTACAAAGATAATGCAATAAAGATTATTTTTATAATGCCTCTAATTGAAGAATCTATCTCTAAGAAAATAAAAACTATAATTAGGAAATATTAATTGCCCTTTGAAGTTATAGAATGGCCATGTATAACCCTAAAAAGCCTACTTTCAAAATCTCATTACACTACCCTACAATTTCTTACAAAAAGGTGTTTGCAATCTAAAGATGAATGTCTTGTCTCCAATGTTGTTTACGTGTAACATCTGCCATCATACGTACATAAGAGAAACTGGAAGAACTCCACACAAAAGGATAGGAAAACATATTGATGCTCTTTATAAACAACAACATGAAAGAAGTACAGTTACAGATCATGTTTTAACCAATCATGTACAAGTAACACCTGACTTGAAATCACCATTCTCAGTACAAGTCCTCACCAAAGCCACCAAGTACACTGACAGAAAATTTAAAGAAGCTTTTCTTATCAAACAAATACAACCACAGATGAATAGGAACAAAGGATGGTGCCTGTAATTTTAATTATTTTATTATATTTTTTATCCTATTTTTTTGTTATTTCACTCTGTAACCTTGATAGAACTTATGTTTATTACAGGTAGTAACAGTTAATTATTTCAACAATAAGCTTTAGTACTTAATATGTCAAAAGCATGCTGTACAAATGCACATTATAGATTGAACTAGAATTTATTATTTAAACCATTTGAAGCTTTGTACTTTCAGTATGTGTTTTAGTGAACGCTCCTGAAGAAGCTGTAAAGCAAAGCACTGAGTGTCTAGTTAAATAACAACATTTTGGTGTTATAAGGTCGTTTATATATACTTTTAATATGTCTTCTATACACCAATATGCACTACGGAAATTAAATAAGTTGAACATGATGTCAATGGTGGAGAAGAAATAGAGCTGATGATATGTAGTCAGAATTGATATAATGATTCATCTTCCAATTGTATTGACTGCAAAGATTTTTGCCTGGTCTGCTTTTTCATTTGTTTGGAACATTATTTCCAAGTCTTTGATCTATTATTCTATAGTGTATTGCCACACCAATGTTCTTAGCATCATTGTCACTGACAAGCAGCCAATCCTGTTAATATGTTCCTTAACTGCCCATTGTCCACTACAGTGAAAAGGTTTTAAATCTTTGCAGGTCATCATAGTCACATTCCATGCTACCAAGATGTACCTCACAATGGTGCTTTCACTATGTTCCATTATAAGTGCTTGTGAATGACCTGATTGCATCTGTCTACCGTGCCATGACATGAACAGTTAGAAACCGTTTTCTTATTGCAGATGACTTATTTGTGATGTTGATAAGGCCGTCCTGTGTCTTGTGAAGCATCAATGGGCTCATGAAGAGAGGGGTAGAGTACTTGGGAATCTTGAAGATAAAGGTAACAACATTTTGTTTATATATTTTGTATCCATCATCTGCAAAGAACAGAAACAAGGACTGAGTGGTTCTCAAATGTAGCAGCCATATAACTGTTCCTTCAGCTATGATGAACATTCAAGCCACTGAGATGTTTCTTGAAGTATATCCAACATTTTCCAGTTCTGGACTTTTCTTGATTGGTGGTTAGGTCACATAGTTGTTTGTGTAAACTCCTTAATGCACCAGTGTGCAGTCAAGATATATTGAGAAAATATTAACACTTCACCTGCCATGTGGAAACAACAGTGGTATACTTGAGTGGTACACCAAAAGGTTCCTTATAACAGTGGCATACTTGAGTGGTACACCAAAAGGTTCCTTATAACAGTGGCATACTTGAGTGGTACACCTAAAGGTACCTTATAACAGTAGCATGCTTGAGTGGTCCACCAAAAGGTTCCTTATAACAGTGGCCTGATGAATGATGAGAAAGTCATTAAAAGCTCAGTTAGCACTGCAAATCCTTCAGTCCAGATATTACTGCAAAGATCATTGATGCCCCCAAATCAAAATCATTTCACAGTTGTGCTCTTTTGTATCATTTGTGATGGCCTAAGGCCTGAAGTGCAGGCTATGATTCATAAGTGTAGTCTTTGGTAATTATGAGGTTTCAACAATAAAGAATCACAAGTAAAAGTGTCACTAACTTAACGGGAATTATTTCGTGAAATTTATGTTGATGAAAAAGATAATAGAACTTCAGCTCTGTTTGAAATTGAAAAAAAATTAAACACTTGAAACTTCTACAGACATTGAGATCAGAGGTCCTGACATTGAAACATCCAAAGAAGACAATCTTAAAGAGTAATGATTTGTGTCAGTCACTCCAACCATGGAACTAATTCAACAAAGGGCTAAATTCATTTTGTAGGCTTCATTTTATTTCCGTCAAATATGTCCCTGTTGAACGGAGAACCTGCTATTACTACAGCCTCATCAGGATATGGTACTTCCTTAAGACTAGATAAGGAACAGTACTATTTCCATGTGGAAGATAATAATGTAGTGGACTTCATCATCACTGATTTGCCATCTGCACCACTTGAGTCCTGCTGTTCATGCAAGAGAAGTAAGCATCTATATTCCTCTCATGTTTGTTCCCAAATAAACCTTTCATGCAGCATATGTTGGAAGATTGTTAATTTGTCATTTTTTTAAGTCCTCTAGATAATTTCATACAAATGCAACACTTTAAAACCAAACACATCTTGTTCCTTTTTTTATTAATTTAGGGTTAACCACATGGAAATATTAAGTAAGCAACCCTGCATTAATAATAACACATTCACATATCAAATGGTAGATACTTCACATCTTCGTTACATGTTCTGACTAGTGTATATAATACATTATAATGTCTTGCACTATTTTGTAAATGGGAAATGTGACTTGTATTGCCTATACATGTTTTTATAGGAAAAAAATAGTTTTTTCTATTTGATAATTAACTTTTTTTAAAGAGACTGTTGCTGCTTAACAGAGTATTTTTTATCTCATAAAACTGTATGAATCTTTGGGAGAATTAAGATTAAACAAATCATCAACTTCTATTGAAAATCTAGTACACAAAAAATAATTAAGTGCAATTTATTATGGATGTTATTGCATAAAATAAAATATCAAAATTTATAGTTGATAAAAATTAAAACTTTCATTTTTGAAAGGGCAGTATTATTTAGAATCCTGTAAGTGTTTCACAATGATAATTAAGTTTAAGTGGAATTATTATATAAAAACACGTTATGTAATAGACATCTTGATTTCTAAAATAAATTACATTCAGTTATATCAAATGAAAAGCAGTAACTTAAACTACAATACCAGGTTTTTTTAACTGCCACAATATTAGAGTTGTCTGAATATTCCATTATTTACCCGAATTCCTGAAAAGAACAAGTTTGTGTGAACTTGGAATATCACAAACATAATTGGGTAACTGTTATTTTTCAACAAGATATGTTTTATATAGTTTTTCATGTTCTTTTTTGTGAAAAACTGGAACAAAGTTGACCTTCAAGATTTCTTTAAAACCCTCAGAAAGATCTGGTTCTTTAAACTTAGATCTGAAAAAAAACAAAACAACAAAAATCTTTGTTTTTATTGTAAACAACCTAAATAAATCATTGGACCTGGTTTTTCAATAGACTTACCACCTGAACATGTTAGCACACACCAGGAAAGGTGCTTGTTTTTATTGTAAACAACCTAAATAAATCATTGGACCTGGTTTTTCAATAGACTTACCACCTGAACATGTTAGCACACACCAGGAAAGGTGCTTGTTTTTATTGTAAACAACCTAAATAAATCATTGGACCTGGTTTTTCAATA